CAATAATTTGATGAATATTTTTTAGACATTCACACTTTAATCAGTAAATATACTTTACTTTTGTTCAAATGTAATTTTTTAACTGAAAACGAAAAATACAAAACTTTGTTTCCCATATAGATCAAATCTTCCCAGTAAAGTTTTAACGTTCAACTTTGGTTTAAACATAATACAAGACATAATGAATGTACAATTACAAGAACAAACATCCTGCAACGACTTACATTATTTTCCTGTAATAATTTTACTTTTACACAAGTAATTGTTAGCATCTGTATCTGTAATATCATTTAAGTAAACATTAGCACCGAATGTATGACCGAAAATGAATTTGATAATGATCCTAAATATAGTGCAATATCATTCATAAGATTTGTGTGAAACATGGAAAATTAAAAAGTGAACTGCAGAGTGGTTTATATTTGTCCTTTCAGTCAAATTGATCATGAAAATGGCTGAACAATGACTTTCTTATACATGCAGACCCCGGGGTCAGGGTAAAGCAAACAGCTCAATGAAAACCATAGCCACCACACATAAAATCAGAGATCTACTTTAAATTATTCCTAGTCTGAGTTTATTTCATGAATTATTGAGAGGTTTTTTTGTAGATAATTAATTGTGTCGTGTGCAGGTGCCTTCCTTATTCCATACCTAATAGCACTGTTGTTTGAAGGGCTGTGCCGCTTGCTCTACCAGGAAGATGGCCATAGTACAGAACTTCTTCTGGGACAGCACTGGAGTCTGGAACTCCAACTCACCACTTCTTGGGGGGTCGGTGAGAGGCCCAGAATCTGATGTTGTCTTTTCAGGCTCTGAAATGTATGTCATAAAATTACTATATTTGAACATACTCTGGATTTGCTTGATTTTGTGTGTAAAGGTATAGAATCAATGATTGTTTCATTCTCGTGGCTTCATTCTACAATACTATTTTTGCCTGGGTTCTTTGGTACTATTCTTCTAACACTCTTTTCAAAATCCCTTGCCATGGAGCACATGCCCACATAATTAAACCAGCACAGGTATTTAAAAGAACTAAAGAATAAGAATAATCAATGTTATTCATTACAAATGATAAACAAAAAAAGCATAGATTTTAAATACAATATACATTCTTCAAGGTTTCAGATGAGGAGTGGGTGAGGGAAAGTCCACATCTGTGAATTACTTCTGGTACGTGAGACGCTGGGATTACTAGTAACATTGAGGAGAGTGGCCTCGATACCAGTGGACGATGGTTGTATGTTTGGCAAGTGCTGGTGCTTGTGAACATCATGTTTTCATCAAGGGAATCCAGTCAATTGGAAAGGGTCCAGAAGTACTTACAAAGTGCCAAAGCACTGTTAGTTTGAGGAAAATAATGAAAACAACTCTTATTTTTTAGGCTTTTTATTTGTTTTTTGTCACAGCAAACATTCCCATACCTGGTCCTCGACAATATTCCACATCAGAGCCATGATGTTACCAGGGGCAGTGGAGGAATAAAGTAACTCTTCACTCCAGATGTCCAGCTGGGGTTTATGGCATATTATTAATAATTAACCTAACCCAATAAAATCAAGAGAATTATGTTTGTGACAGTGGGCGATTCAGAGAACCCTCAGGTGTGGCTTGATGCTGCCACACATATCTTTTCTTCTCTTTCCAGCAGTGGCCTTCGGTGGACTTAAAATAGCTTTTTCTAGCTATAATGAATGAAAAGTAAGCATATCTGTTGTGTATACTATATAGTTACACATTGAAAAATTAGAACAGTCCAATGTTTGGATGATACATACAGTACTCAACAATTCTATCAAATACTATAAAAGTACTCAGAGATGCAGACCTCAAGCCACGAGGCACAGTTCCATTCCTTTACAATCCAATTCAAATCACCACTAAAATTGGAAATTGCTGTTCACTGGGCATCATTTTTTTTCCTCAAAACCCTTTTCTTCCAATCCTCTCCGACATTTTTTTTAAAATTGCCAGGTTGGATCACTTGACCTGGACAAAGTCTAAAACATACGTATAAATACAATTTCCATGGAAAACGTATAACTAACTGATTAAGGTAGTGGCCACGATGTGCAACTGTCTCATCTAGAAAAAATGTTAACATAAAAACAGTTTGATTTAATCCTAACAGAACAATTGTAGAGGGATCTGTTTTTTGGTTGGCGTTATCAACATGCCACAACGCTGTTATGCCTCTATACCCCTATCTCAATTCGGGATTCAAAGCTACAAGTGCTTACAATTCAACGCTTGTCATGATGAAGTATGTAATTTGCCTCATTTCTTTTATTATTATAGTTGTGGTACATAAAAAAAAATATTTGTTAAATTTCCTCTGCAGGCACATACTGGGCTTTTAACAAACCAGTTTGATTTTCGGGATCAAAACATCAACAAGAGAAAACTACAACCATTGGGTTTAACTATTTAAACAACACATTTTTTTCCAAGTTACAATTTCTAGTTTTAAAATTCTTCGAACCTGTGACCGTACAAACATTCCATTGACCAGGTACAATAACTTCTCATTTCTTATCTAAATTTTTCATGAATGGTTTGAATTTTGTTCTTGCCTCCCTAGTACTCTGCAAGAGTAGACATTTTATCCTGTACTTGACTGAACATTGAGAGTGCATGCTTTCCTTTTGTCTAGAGTGCTTCTGGGACTGGACTGGCATTCATTGTGTTTACTGAAGCATGAATGAAATGCCAGGTTCACAGATATGGGCAGCCTGTTTTTCATCATGCTCTTTATAAAGCTTGGGTATCTCCTCAATGTTTGCAACATACAGGGTGTTCTTACAGCCTATCAAGACCTCTAAAATACTTCCACAAGTGGCTCCCAGAGCCACTTGTAACAGGTAATAACTGTACCAAACACTTTATGTCATACTCAAACCGCAGTCATATGAATGAAACCACTAAATAATGGGTATAAAAAAATATATTTTTCCCAACCCAACCATTGTAGACATCATCTGCTTTTTGGTAGCACTTTATTTACCCTAGGTGCTGGAAATTACTGTTAGAGGTGTATTAAATTGCCTATGTTGGCTCAGTACCCTCTGCTTATAATTGCATTCTCTATTGAAATTATCGGAGTCATCAAATGTACATGTAATGAAAAGGTAGTCTTCATTCAAACTTTTTGAATGAAAATCTGAAAAGAACATATTCTGATGAGACATTACCGTTTATCTTTTAGGTTTAGTGATGACATCTTGTTCATAGACTGGAAAAGGACCCAACAATTTTTGGAAAAGCGTGTTGGATGGTGAACAGATCCAGTAATGCTTTTGGTGTATATAATTGCCTATGTTAGCCTCTTAACAAGCACAATACAGAACGCCCCACCTATCCCACCTGGAACCCATCCTATGCAAGTATTGGTAAATCCTATATTGTAGTGTTTGCCTTGCTTATAATTTAAAATCCTTTCCCCAGGAGTTTTTTCCTCAAAACCCAAATTCTGGTAGTATGCCTGACTGGGTTTCCCTTTGTCCATAATCAAACCTTCGAGTGTGTTACCTACATCTCCATCCCCCAAAAGCTGAACTAGCATCAACAGTATTGAACTGCTGTGTGTTTGTTCTGATAATGTTGACGTACTGTACATCATTATGACACTTGTATTGTGTATCCATCTATCTATAGTCTTAAACCACCAGGGTGGTAAACTACAGGAAGAAATTCCGATCACTCATTCATCCTCATTCACACCTCCAGAACCCTCAGGCAGCAGTACTGCGGCCAGGGGCCATCACAGCGGGGTCCTGGCCCTGGCTTTCAGCCAGGTGTCCTACAGCCAAAACAGCATTGTGTAAAACATTGAATATTTCCAATGAATATCTGTGAGCCAATCATCGACATTATAAAAAAGAAAATGTTTATGTATTTTTAATAAAAATATTTGAATAAATGTTGAACTATGATGTTTTTTCAGTTTTGGATCATCTTGTTCATCAGGAAAACTGACTCACTTCAAATCACTGCTTGAACCCGACCTGATCAAAACTGCCAAAACCTTACTGTTTATTTGAGCTTTTATTTATTTTTCTTATTAACCTGTCCTTTTGCAAAGCATCTTTGAGTATCAAAAAAGTGCAATATTATTTTTATACAGTATGTTTGAACTTTTGTATCGTGAATTTGTCCCAGGTAGAAGACTAGCATCAACTTGTGGAAGCTAATGGGGATCAAAATAAATAAATAAGGCTTGACTTTACAGCAGTATCAGTAAATTAATTCGCAAGAAAACCCAAATTTCTTCACAAAACAATATGAGCCAAACTAAAGCCTGGTTCACACGAGACGATTTTAAAATTGTCGGCCGATTTTTCTCTGTGTGAGACCCCACACAGGGAGATAAAAAATCACGGGTCTAACCACTTTGGTCGTACAGTGTGTGGTGCGCAGCCACACGGCAAAAATCACGCAAACCACACACGAACCGATTCCCCCGAGTATTCACAGATCAGACGGAAATCTCAGGTCTCGCGAGATCAAGCGTGACTTCAGAGTAAACACACATGGCGGACGAAGAGGATGCATTGGCGATAGTTTGTTTTTATCGGAGAAAAGACGTAATCAAAAGAAAAGGCGATGGTCAAAGAAGTGTAGACAACACGAGCATGGACTATACTTGCTACATCGTGATATGGAGGCGTTTCCTCACCGCCTCGTCTCGTCTTCTGATTGGCTACACGCCGCAGTCATGGCAACGCGCACGTCTGTCCTCGGGGGACACCACACACGAAGAGAAATCGGGCCAAAACAATCCAACATGTTGGATATCCCCGATTTGAGATCGGGAGCAGTCCTGATGTCCTTCCGAGCGACGAGTGCAGTCTTAACACACCACACACGGCAGGATAATCTGTAAGATTTTGTTACGGAAATCGGAGCGTTTCTTAAGATTGTCGTAAGGGGTAAATCGGGTCTAAATCGGCCTAAATATCCAGCCGTGTGAACCAGGCTTTAGACAAAGAAAGAAGGTGTCACTCACTGCCTCTCTCCTCCTCTTGAATCACGTCAAGTTGTTTCTTGGTCACTGCTCCATTGGTTCTCGGTTCCTGAAGCTCGAACGCCGGATTGTCCTCTGTTTGTGGGCACTCCTCCATGTCGTCGGCCCGCGCCTCTGTGGCTCTGAGCTGCTGCAAGACGGCGTGCGCAATGGGCAGCATCATGGCCGTGGAGGCAGTGTTACTGATCCACATGGAGAGGAAGGCGGACACCAGCATGAAGCCCATCATCAACCTGAAGGAGAGAGAGAGAGCGAAATAGAGAGAGATAAGATAAGAGTTTCTTTATTCGTCCCACAGAGGGGAAATTTCAATGTTGCAGCGCACATCAGGTGTACAGGACAGTATAAATATACATATAAAAAATATACAAAATAAGTAGTAGCTATTGTTAGGATTAGATAGCGATTTGACCTACGGAGGACAACTGCAAGACTCTACGGCAAGGCAAGGCAAGTTTATTTGTATAGCACAATTCATACACAAGGCAACTCAAAGTGCTGAACAAGATAGCATTAAAATCATAAATAATCACAGAACATTAAAAAGAAAGATAAAAATATAAAATCCCTCAGTTGTATGCACAGCTAAACAGCACCGTTTTTAACTTGGTTTTAAACATTGTCAGAGAGGAGGCCTGTCTCACATCTTCAGGAAGACTGTTCCAGATTTTAGCAGCATGAATCTGAAAAGCAGCCTCCCCATGTTTAGTTCTGACTCTGGGCACTAACAGGAGTCCAGTCCCTGTGCTCCTCAGAGTCCGGGCTGGTTCATATGGGACTAACATGTCACTAATATATTTTGGTGCGAGGCCATGCAGAGACTTGTACACAAGCAGAGCTGTTTTAAAGTCTATTCTCTGAGCCACAGGAAGCCAGTGCAGAGACCTGAGGACCGGACTAATATGGTCGTACTTCCTGGTTCTAGTCAGGACTCGAGCTGCTGCATTTTGAATGTACTGCAGCTGTTTTACAGCCTGTTTGGACAGACCTGTGAGCAGGCCATTGCAGTAGTCTAACCTACTGGAGACAAATGCATGGACAAGAATCTCCAAGTCTGCTTTAGACACTATGTTTTTGATCCTGGAAATGTTTTTTAGATGGTAAAAAGCTGCTGATGTTACTGATTTGATGTGGCTATTAAAATTTAAGTCTGAGTCCAGTATTACCCCTAGATTTCTGACCTTGTTTGAAGGTTTTAGGGAGAGAGACTGTAGATGACAGATGACGCTCTCTTTTTGTTTCTGGGGACCAAAGACAATCATTTCAGTGACTCTTCTGATGGTGCATCCATGTTTTGACTATAATGTGCACTGTCTCTTTGTGACACGTATTTCTTTCGATGTGTGACGTACAGTAACAATGACTATATAAACTGTGTACTGACTCCAATTTGTCTGAGAGAAAGAAACAATTGAAACCACTGGAACTTGAGAGAAACCAAAATAAACTTCCAAAGTTTGGCGCACCACGATCCGTCTCTGTCTGGTTCATTCCTGACACTATGTTTCTTTGCTAGCTGTAAATGCTGTAAAGACTAAATCTTTCAAAAACAAATAAATATATATATATATGTATATATAGATTTATACAGTATATATATATATGTAGCGCGGAGTTATATTCTATGCATATAGAGCAGGGTAATAAGTAGATAAAGTAAGGTGACATTGTTCAGTGACATTCTGAAGTTGCAGTATTGATTGATTTTAGTATTTACTTAATTACAGATGAATGACTTTTACAGACTCAGCAGTTCTCATTGCACAGTCTGACAGTAGCAGGAAGGAAAGACCTACGGAACCTCTCTTTTACACAGCGAGGGTGAATTAGTCCGTCACTGAAACTTCTCTCCAGAACAGAGCGAGTGTCCTGCAGGGGGTGACAGCCATGGGGTAGGGGTGAGAGTCCTCTATGGTGAGAATCATCAGCAAACACCCTGGGGCAAAACTATAGGACACTTGCTATAGGTGTTTTGTCAAAATATACAGCGTACAGGGATGGAAGCTGACGGTCAAGCTGTTAATAACAATAATAATGCATCGGTTTTATATAGCGCTGTTTTGGACACTCAAAGACATTCAATTCATATACGTTGGTAATAAAGTAATGCAGTGGCCACATCCGCCATGGGGCACACCGACAGAAGCGAGGCAACCAGAATGTGCCATCGGCCTCACCAACCATTCACTCTTGAATGTGGGTGAAGTGTTTTGCCTAAGGACACAATGACAGTTTGGTAATATACGCCGAATCCACTATGGCACCCGGTGTTCCCAGAGGTCTCCCATCACAGCACTGACCTGGCCCTGCCCAACTTAGCATAAGATGTCTGATGGGGTCTTGCTTTTATCCTGCATTTAAAGCCACTGTGAAACTCCTCGTCATTAAATCATGTCGTGACCAGTTAAAACAGTCGTCTTTCTGCTACATTACAACATGAAAACCTGAGTCTTATATTCCAGTGCGGCTTATATATGGACATAAATCACTTTCTTTTAAAATGTTGCTGGTGCGGCTTATATACAGGTGCGCCTTATAGTCCAGAAAGTACGGTAAGCCAGGGCAACATGTGGGCTGCCAGAGTGTAAATATTGTGGATGGTGTAAATGTTGTTTTTGTGGTCTTCAGTGTCTCTCACAGTGCAGGGCGGACTCCCACCAGCAGGAGGACTCTGAGGGCGATGCGTTTGTGGAGGTTCCAGTGCTCCACAGCAATGGCCACCAGCAGCCCCCCGATGAAGAGCATGTTAGAGTCCTTCAGGTACTCGATGCTCACCTGCGAGAAAGAACCCACACAGAATATCATATAAAACATTATCTACTGCCACAGCTATACAGGAGACACATAACCGGTATAATAGACCAGATTAGATTAGATTCAGGAGGTTAAAATTTACCATCATTTATCCAGTATCATGCTTATTACTGTCCTTTTTAATTATTATTATATTCGACATATTAATAATTATGTTGCACAATGGACTGTTCCGCACACAAACGCACACACACACACACACACACATTATCTGTGGTATCCCTTAAATATGTATCTCTCCACATATTCTTGTTGTTTGTTGTACGTATGTTCTTTTGCAGAATAAAATAAAAAATAAAGATTAGATTCACTATGTTTTTAGTTTTGAGAATTTTCAGATTCAGAGATTCTTTTTATTTGCTATTTGCAGTAAAACCACATTGGCATACAAGTACAAAAGTATCTCAGTGTGCAACCAGACAAGTATATAAAGTAAAACAAGCTAAAAAGCACAAGAAAGAATTGTCACAGTGAAATCAATCAACAAAAACAGTTTCAGTACAAGTGCAACTGATAAAATCTTGTGTGAAGAAGCTGTTAGCATATCGAGATGTCCTGCAGCTCAGCGAACAGTATCTTCTGCCAGAGGGAAGAAGCTGGAACATTGCTGTTCCAGAGTGACGATTAACGTAAGAGTCTGGTTTAAGTGACATATCTAATCTGACTACAGAGTGTGTAAGAAAAAGCCTGATTAGACTAAGTATGTGGACAAACTGGACATAAGTACTTTTTTATTGTTCAGTAGTAGTAGTTTTTGTTCAAGATAAGATAAGATGAGATAACCTTCATTCAAAACGAGAGTTCATGGTGAATAAGAAGCACTAACAAATAAGATACATTACAGTAGAAATACTAGCAATAAACCCACCCATACAGCATTTGTTTAACCCCGCAATTACTTTGAATGCTATCTTGTCTTGTTCAGCACTTTGAGTTGCCTTGTGTATGAAATTGTGCTATACAAATAAACTTGCCTTGCCTTGCCTCCAAGTGAGCGGTAAACACAAGGGCAGGTGCGAGATGATAGGAGCGTGGTTAAAAGCTCATCCATCCATCCATCCATCCATTTTCTACCCTTTAATCCATTTCTGGGTCAGGGGGGTGGCAATCAGAGATGCCACCCAAGTCTCATAGCACCAGCCCCTCACTGATCCTCTGCAGGTGGTGAGTCCACAGGAGGACGGCTGCTCTCTGAGTGTGAGCATAGCCTTGATCTTTCAGTGGGGGCTTTGGGCAAAGTGGGGTTAAGTGTCTTGCCCAAGGACACAACGACAGCAGTCATCAGTGGGAGTCGGTGGAGAAGGTGCAGAGGTGGGAATTGAACCCAGGACCTTCTGGGCTTAAGGCCAATGCTCTACCAACTGAGCTACTGTCGCCCTCATTAAAAAAAAAAAAAAAAAAAAAAAAAAAAAAAAAAAAAAGTTAAAAGCTCATAAAAGAAGTAAATCAAAGGCACCAAAACACACATCAAATCCACTCTACTTATAAAAACACAACATGCAGATTCAGCAAAAGTTCCTTCACGTAAATCAAAGAATGCCGGACCTTAAAAGTGGTTATATTTAAAGTTATATTGGGCTGTGTGTACACTGAACTCATAATAATAGTGGGAGGAAATGACAAGACTAGAAAAAAAAACCCATGGCGGCCCACTGGTTACTGCCTTTCAGTGGAGTTTGCGTTTCACCCTGTGTCTACGTAGGTTTCCTCTGGGTGCTCCGGTGTCCTGATCCCAAGATATTTTTTGTTGTGGTCGTAAGAACACGGACAGTAGAACATAGAATATCCATAGTTACGTAGAAAGTAGTGGGGGGAAGTCTAGACTTATTGATTCCCACTTCCTTTTTCAGCGTCTAAACATCATTAGTTACCTCTTTTGGGTTTAACACTTTCTTGCAAAACACAAGCACTTATTTCTTACATACAGTAAGGGCCCGATTGGAACTCAGTGGACTTCTATGTTATACTATGTCTTGAGTAGAGCTGCAACTAACGATTATTTTGTAATCGATTAATCTATCGATTATTTTCACGATTAATCGAGTAATCGCTTGGCTGTGAATTGTGTAGAAAAAAAATATTTTTTCATCACAAAAAGCTAAAGTGGCAACACTCGAGGACGTATTGATGGCGTAAACTTAAAGTAAATGTTTGTAACAGGCTCTTTGTGCTAATTCTGCTCTGATTGGATGAGACAGACAGATATTCATGAAATTATAAAAACAAAGTTGGTTTTAATCAAAAATACTACATTTTCATGTCATTTTTGCTCTGTTTGAGTCCGTGTGAACCAGAAAACGATTAATCGATTACTAAAATAGTTGTCAACTATTTCAATAATCGATTAGTCGTCGATTAATCGATTAGTTGTTTCAGCCCTAGTCTTGAGTGTAGCCTAAAATGACAACTAAAGATTTGCGTGTGACTGTTTATGGGGATTTTCTTATGTCGTCTCTGTCTAGAATTTACACTGATGAATGAGCAGTTTGTGAAGGAGATGCAATTGGGGAGATGGGGAGATAACACTTTCAAGCAACTTTTGTTAAAGTTAAACTCATCATTCTATCAATGTGCAGAAGCCTGTACTTTTCCCTTGTTTTGTCTATCTGAAGGCCAAGCTACATGGCACTGTGGAAGCTGCTGATTGGAGGTCTCCATGCCTCCGCTCTGTATAATACACTTGCATTCTGTTGTATCTGTTGTTCGTGCTGTCTCTACCATCAACAATAAAACATGTCTTCTGTCTGAATGAAAGACGCGATCCCAGACTATGTCATCTTCTTCACATGTGTAAGTCAGACTATTTAGAATAATATGAATGCATCTGTTTTAGCTTTTTTTTGGATGCTCAAAGACATTATGTGGCATTTTTCATTCAATCTGCACGGTGGTGATGAAGTAATAGTAGCCATAGCTGCCCTGGGCACTCTGACAGAATTGAGGCGCCCAGCAGGTGCCATTGATCCCTGCGGCCACCACCAATCATTTTTGCACTTGTTTAGATTGTTTATTTAGATGGTAATAACCCACTTTTGATGTCATCATTTATAACCAGGAAATAAAATTATCTATACAGAAATATGGCCAAACCGGGATTAACTTGTAAATACTTTAGCAGAATGTTTAATACAATAGTCATAGTAGTGTTTTGTTGATTCTGAGCTGTCATAATCCTTCTAACTTTATGGGACTGTACCTTCTCGGCCTGCATTATGTTCATCATCGGGAACAGGACGACGGGCAGCAGCGCCGTCACCGCTAACGGGAGACACTCTGTGCACCAGTACAGCGCCATCAGGATGATCACGTACCCACATCTCGCCTCCTGACAAACACACACACACAAACACAAACACACACACAAAAGCAGATCAGTACGTTCCCATAACAACAACAACAAACAAATATAAAGTTACTGCAAAAGAATACCACAAAGTTGACATTATTTTTATTAATAATAGATATGTGCCTCACAATAAACAGTGTTCGTTGTAGAAGCTGACAGTGGGAGGGTAAACATGTTTCCTAAAGCGGAGTACTGCATGCAGGGATGTGTTTAGAAGTTGATTTATGTCTGTACTTTAAATTTAACTTGAAATTTAAAACCAATGCATGATGACAAATGCATTACATACAAAGTGAGATTTACCAAGCATCAACATTAACAAAAAAGGCTTGAATTTGATTTGACCAATATTTTAATTTTCAGAGTTTCACCTGCATGTGATCTAACTGAGCCAAGGACTATTTATTGTTTGGTTAAAGAAATATCAATAGTATTCAACACTGAAGTGGAATGATATGATAAAATCTAAAATGATATTCATTTATAGTTATACATCAATTTCCTTTCCTGAATTTCAGTTTCAAAACAACTGAATCAACCACATGTTTGCAGATATTTCCATCCTACTTGTAAAAATCAGCCAAAGTTATCAAAGTGTTGTGCATGAATAAGAAAACATTGTGTGTAGTTTAGTTGATATTTCGAGAACGACGCATTTGTTCCTTGAGCCGCGAGGTTCAAAGCCTGAAGCGGCTGAAGATAAGATATAGAGAAACAGCTCGACAGTAAAATGCATAAGTTTAACATCACGCTCTTATCTCCAGCGACGCAGAGGCCAAAAGACTTTACCTCAGCGACAGCACCGACCTGTGATCATAAAACTCACTTGTTGCTGTAAATGTCCCAATAAATATGTTGAGGAGTTTACACAAAATTTACATAAAGGAAGGTGTGAAATGCTGAAGTTTGAGTTTGGTCCGGTTATAGTCCTTAAAGTCCAGTCCAGATGATATACTGTAAAAAAGGTCTCTCTCTTCATAATATACTTAAAAAGTCCCATTTTAGTGAGTCCCTATTTTGCTGTTAAGACGAATGATTTGTTCTGAAATACAAGTAGAAAAGGCATCCAAACTCAAAACAGACAATTTTGGAACTCACTGAAATAATTCCCTTCCTTTTAATTATGTTTTTCTATAATTAAATCAGATTTCAGGTTTAAACTGAGGTCTCTAACTTTAAAACCACAAAAAGACAATGTCATGGAATTATTCTCACTAGTTCCTCGCCGTCAAAACAGTATTGGCGTCTAAGTATATGTTTCAGACAGAAAAGTTCAAAAGGACACGACCACGCTAACTCAGCCAATCATCTCTCAGCCCAAAGTGTCAAATAGTAACTCACAGGGCACTTTCCTATAAGTATGCAAAAGACAGCATGATATATAATGAGACAAAGACAGCACGTTATGGTCTTATTTGTTCACAATATTATGGGACAATGTGTTATTCATGAAAGAAAAAGATAGTTACTCCAGCTTTAAGAATCTTTACAGCTAGTGCAACATAAAAAAAGCTTGTACAATGAAATAAATGCTTAAATTTGAGTGGTTTTTATCATAATTTAAAAGTTTTCTTAAAACTAGATTTGCCAATGGGACAAAGCCTTTCAGTCTTATATCAAGAACGATTGCTTTATTTTCTCATCCCAAGAGAGATATTTCTTTTTTTTTAAACAAGATAATTTTGCTTTGTCCCATTTGCCAAATCTTGTTGTAAGGCAGTCAAAATGTGCTCAAATTAAGATACTTTTGCCAAAATTTTAGCAATTATTTACTTATTTGTCATCTCTTTTTGCAGAGTAGAGGTACTGTCTGTTCACGGAGACAGTTAACTAAGAGAAAAGTTGGTGTGAAGACTTGTCATTGCAGACTCACGGATGTTGGGATGACCAGAGGCAGCGGCAACAGCAGGATCGGAGTCAAGATGATGATCAAATAGTTCCTGTGATACCAAAACCATTTCGGATTCATGGTAAACAGCGAAAAAGAGAGTCCCCGAATATGACGAACTGAAGTGAACGTGTATAAACGAAAACAAACTTAAGTAAAGCAGGCAAGTGTTTAAAAATGGCTTCTTGAGACGGAGCTCGGTGAAAGGATTGCGACCGGTGCGTTTAGTGTTTTTATCTGAGACAGCAAATCAAATATTAACTCAACACTGTGCAGCACTGTTCACTGAGGACAGATGAAAGGATTGGGAAACAAAACCAGGAAGTGCAGAACATCCCCAGCTCATCTGATTAAGGCTTCTGTACACTGCAAAAAAGTGATGAAAAATAAGTCATGTATCACAGGGATTGCTCAAATTTGGTAAAAATGTATCTTAATTTGAGCACATTCTGACTGCTTTAAAAGAATATCTTCAAATGGGACAGAGCAAAATGATCTTGTTTTCAAAAGATACAAGAAATATCTCCCTTGGAATGAGAAAAAATAAAGCAGCAGTTTTTGACATAAGACTAAATGGCTTTGTCCCATTAGAGAATCTTGGTTTAAGACAGTCAGAATGCACCCAAATTACAACACAAACCACTCGATTGAAGAAATTATTACCTCATGATTTATCATTTTTTGCAGTGTACGTACAAGGAACAATGACACCATCAGAGGGGTATGAACTACAGCAGCTGCTACAACTCTGAGGAGCAAAATATTCTTATTCTGAAAACATGTGGCTCATATAGACGTGTATCAGTATCTTGTATTCTACCTCTTTATTCATAGCCTTTGTGTTTGCTTGTTTTTGGATGTTGAGAACAAAAAGAGCGAGTTACGGTCCCACCAACGTCATCTCTGATTGGTCCATCACAGAAACAACATGCAACTTTATAAACAGCCGCAAAGTCATATTAAAGAGGAACTTCATTGTGTTTCTTACCCCCTACACTCAGAATAGCAGGATGTCCATGGTCTGTATCTTATATGTAGCACAATTATTATCATAATTATATATTACTGTGACTATTTGTATTCAACTTTGACAAGAACACAAAGCAAATAAGCTCTCAAAAGATGATACTAAGAATGAAATAATAATTAAAAATGAATTGATGTGAGAATTGCAGGATTATAGATTGCGATTTACCGTCAAAATGATATTCTAACACACCTCCAGGATGACCAGTATTTCATGTTATAAAGCCATGCACATCAATAAAACTCATAAAAAACTTTCACAAACAGCTTCCTGACCAAATGTGAAAACGAAACACCAAAGCTGAGTCGGACCAATAACTTTAGATCTGTGTAATTACATGAAAGAGAAAATATATTGAGAGCACTTCACTCACTGCGTTATTGCATCACAGAAAACCCCATAACATAGAGTTAGTGGGTTTTTTCCACATTCATAAAAACCTTGTGTTTATGGCCTTTGGTGGTTGCATGATCCTGTTATGATTTAAGGCTCAAAGGTTTCCAGCCGAAAGCAGAGCACAGCGTACGCAGAGCTTTCTGATCTACTGCTGTCTTTGTTGACTAATGAACTATTATGATTGTTTGATTTTCTTCTAGGTTTTGAACAAAATTGAAAAATCGGCTATGCATTGGCTATGCACAAGCTCCACACTGCAATAAATGATAAAATATGAGTAAATAATTGCTTGAATCGAGAGGTTTTTATGTTCGTTTGAGTACATTCTGACTGTGTTAAAACAAGATTCAAGATTCAAGATTCATTTATTTGGCCATGTGCAGTTAAAAAACCACATTGGAATACGTTCGCAAGAAAGGCACTCCGTGTGCACCGACAGAACAAAAGCACGACACAATGCAATACAAAACACACATACACTGAACATAAAACAATAAAAAAACAGCTGACACTGTGGCACCGATCAACAAAACAATACAAGGGGTAAAAGCAGTTTAAAAGCAGGTAAAAGCAGAAATTAAAATGCTCTGTTTAGGCACCTAACAGCCTGTGGGAAGAAGCTGTTAGCATAGCGAGATGTCTTGCATCTCAGTGACCGATATCTTCTGCCAGAGGGAAGAAGCTGGAACATGGCTTTCCCAGGGTGGCCAGAAGAGTCATTGATGATTTTAAGAGCTTTGTTTAAAAGTCTGAATCTGTAAAGAACCTCCAGAACAGGAAGCTCACAGCCCACGGTCCTCTTTGCAGAGCGGAGCACCTTGTTTAAAGCTCTCTTTTCTTTATCTGTGATGTTTCCAAACCACACAGACACAGAACCAACAAGTAAACTCTCAATGGTGCAGCGATAAAAATTAAGCATAATCTTAGAGTTAGTGGTAAATTCTCTAAGTTTCCGCAAAAAGAAGAGCCGCTGACGAGCTTTCTTAACAACCCGGTCAGTGTTTTTAACCCATTTCAGGTCGTTAGACAGAGTTAAACCCAGGAACTTGCACTCCTCTACGATCTGCACCTGGGAGTTGTCAATAACAACAGGAGTGTGAGAACTGCTATGACTGAAGTCAAAGACAAGTTCACATGTTTTTGCAGTGTTCAGCTGGAGATTGTTTACTTTACTCCACTGAAAAACATGTTCGATCTCTGCTCTATAAGAGGAATCATCATTGTCACTGATGAGACCGATGATGGTGGTGTTATCAGCATATTTGATGATCAAATTTGAGTCAGAGGAGGACACACAATCGTGAGTGTACAAAGTAAAAAGCAGAGGACTCAAAATACATCCCTGAGGAGAACCAGTGCTCACAGAAACAACATCAGAAAAACAGTCATTGATTTTTACACTCTGAGATCTGTCAGTTAAAAAGCTAAAAATCCATTTACACATGGCAACATTCAGACCAAGGGACATTAGTTTTTCAACCAATATGCTTGGGACAAGACAATTAAAAGCAGAGCTATAATCAATGAACAGCATTCTCGCGACAGATTTACTAGTGTCCAAATGAGTGTAGACAGAGTTCAGAGCAAAGGAGATGGCATCCTCCACACTCCTGTTCTGTCTGTAAGCAAACTGGAGCGGGTCAACGCTCACAGGGATCTGGCTCTTAATGAAGTCCAGCACAAGTCTTCATAAGAACAGACGTGAGAGCCACAGGGCGGTAGTCATTGAGACATGTCACTGGAGACTTCTTAGGAACTGGAATAATGGTGGACCTTTTAAAGCTCACCGGCACCGTACAGCTCCTGAGTGACAAGTTAAAAATGTCCGTTAAAACAGGGGCAAGTTGCTCGGAGCACAGTTTCAGGACGCGGGGAGGAATGCAGTCTGAGCCTGCGGCTTTCCGAGCTGTGGTCCTGGACAAGACCCGCCGTACTTCCTCCTGAGTCACTGTGAAGGCACCCTGACATTCGGGGAAGACAAAAGGCAGGGGATCAGCAGATTCAAAGCGGCAGTAAAAGTCGTTGAGCTCGTTTGGCAGAGTTTGGCCAGCAGCAATTTTCCCTGCACTTGGTTTCCAGGACGTGATGAGACTGATCCCCTTCCACATGCGTCGAGGGTCCTCTTCGTCAAAGAAGCCCTCTAACCTGTCCCCATAGGAACGCTTAGCAGCTTTTATAGAGCGTTCCACAGCGTAGCAGGACAGCTTGTAAGCACCCTCATCACCGGATTGAAACGCCAGTGTCCGCTCATTAATTCTTAATTTGACGTCAGTGTTCATCCAAGGTTTTTGGCCGGAGTGTTCTTTAATAACTTTATAGGGGACACAACAGTCAATGCAAAATTGTATGTATCCTGTCACAGCCTCACAGAATTCATCAACATTCTCAGAGTTAAAAACAGACCAGTCTGTGGCATCAAAGCAGCCCTGCAGCTTCATGTTAGCCTCCTCAGACCAGCACTGCACAGTGCGGGAAGTAGGTTTGTGCTGTTTGTTCCTCTGTGTGTAAGAAGGAAGAAGGAGAACAGCGAAGTGGTCAGACTTCCCAAAAGCAGGTCTGAGACTGGACCTGTAGGCTGCCTTCACGTTACTATAGCAGTGATCCAGGATGTGAGCTCCCCTGGTAGGCTGACTCACATGCTGATAAAAGTTCGGTAATACAGACTTTAAGTTACATTTATTAAAATCACCACCAACTATAATCACAGCATTGGGGTGAGCAGCTTCGTGTTTATGCAAAATGTCACTTAAGTCATTCAGTGCAGCTGTACAGTCAGCCCGAGGATGAATATATACAGCACATAAGAAAATCACTGAGAATTCTCGGGGAAGATAGAACGGGCGGCATCTCAAAACCAGACACTCCAGGTTAGCAGAGCATGTTTTGTTTATAATAAAACTGTCAGTGCACCAGCGCTGGTTAATTAAAAAACACACACCTCCGCCTTTCGATTTCCCCGTGCTCTCCTTCTCTCTGTCCGAGCGGAAAATGGCGAATCCCGGCGGCTGAAACAAGATTAATCCATGGGACAAAGTCATTGAGTCTATTTCAAGAATTGTTGGCTTAATTTCTCGTTCCAAGTGAGACATTTCTTGTATCTTTTTGAAAATATGATCATTTTGCTTTGTCCCATTGGCAAATCTTGTTTTAAGGCAGTCAAAATGTGCTTGAATTAAGGTACATTTTGCCAAATTTGAGCAATTTTTGAGTTATTTTTCATCATTTAATGCAGTGAAGACACAGAAATTTCTTGCATTAATAGATAGATTGTATTGATATTTTAATAATCTACTGTAATAGTTCATTGGGGTTCTGTGTGCAGACTATAGTTGCTGCTATGGGCGGCACGGTGGCTGAGTGGATAGCACTCTCGCCTCTCAGCAAGAAGGTCCTGGGTTCGAATCCCGGTCGGACCAGGGCCTTTCTGAGTGGAGTTTGCATGTTCTCCCCGTGTCTGCGTAGGTTTCCTCCGGGTACTCCGGTTTCCCCTACCACTAAAAATATGTCCAATAGTTCTGGCATGCGCTTCCTGTACTGGCGACCCCGCTCCCATCTCTGTGTGGAGTGAGATACAAATGCCCAAAATTAACAATTGTAAACCGCTTTGAGACTCAGATCTGCAGTGAAAAGGCGGTATATAAATAAAAACTTACTTACTTACTCTATATAACCAGAGATAATATGATACTTATGATAACGCAGCACCGTGTCTGATAAACATGGCTGTAAATATCCATAGATTACTGCTCCAATTACCCAACAATTACTCTGTTCAAACAGTCATAATCAATTATTGGTACTATTTTAATCAATTCTATATTTTCTACATGAATGAATTGTCTAAAGTTGTATTCAAAGTAACTATACACACTTGAATAATGGTATAAATCCATATAATACTTAATACTTTGCTTCTGTGTGTTGTAAGTGATAACCTATGACATCTCAGGCTTATTATTGTATGTTTAGCACAATTTACTGTAAATAAATAACAATCTAAAGCCAGGTAATAAAAGAGTCCCCACACTTTCGTATTCAGTCCTACCGTATGGATCTGCCCCCTGCCCCTTGACACAAAATCAGACGTGTGTCGGATCAAAGGTTCCCCTCGGACTCAGTATTAAGTTGGTGATCAGCACAACACTGCCGAATCATCCAGGTATCACAGATTCACAAAAGAGAATCTGAAAATGAAATTCAGGTTAAAAAAAACAGTGTGAGGTTGTGACTCAAACATGAATCACTTTTGTTCTTGCTTCTTTATTATGCTAATGCTAGAGATTTTAGACTAGCTTCTTTATTATGCTAAAGCAAGAGATTTTGCTTCTTTATTATGCTAAAGTTAGCAATTTTATACTTGCTTCTTTATTATGCAAAAGCTAGAGATTTTATTTTATTTTATTTTAGTATAGAGTTATTATTCATTTCTCTCGTGTTGTATGCTCCTCATTTCTGTCCTGTAACCGGTGATGCAACACTGAAATTTCCCCCCTGTGTTTGACGAATGAAAAATCTCTTAAACTCAATCTTAAAAACACTTTGAGTGAATGCCAAGAGGAACGTTGATTTTGCTGTTACATTATGGCCCCTTTTACATGCCTCAATGAGCAGAAAAGTATGATAATGTCAAATACAACACTATGTCTCCATCTTTCCGATTATTGTTTGTATAAATCAGTAGAGAATTAAAATAGTTGCAGAGACAAATGTAGCGCGTGACGTTTTTATCTGGGACACACAATGATTAGGACCTAAGTTTGAAATGCCTCGGGGTCAATGCCTTTTCAAAACGATCTATTGATATTCTGCCCACAGTCCTGTCCCGGTCTGGGCCACTCTCAACAGGCTACCGACCGCTCAAAAAGTGCACGGACTAAAGGAAAGATTCTATATTTTTTCTTGGTTTATTTCAAGACAAAATGGGGCCTGCGGTGGTTCTACTGCTTGGGATTGCCATATGCAGGGCTTTGGCTGCAGAAGGTATGAGTTTCTATGTTGTTTGTTTGTTTTTGTGTGGGTTCTCATTCGCTACTGGGATATACAGCAGCTACTTCTCCAGGCTTCTATGTATGTTGACAAATGAAAATTGGACAAAAAAAGTATGTTTTAAATAAGGGCGCACGTCACAGTAGCCTGAACTGGCGAACTAGACTCAAAAAAGGTGCAAAATGTGAAAAAATTGAGGAAAAATCTTCACAGCTGTGTTGCTCCCAAGAATCTTGTATTTGCATGCCATGATAGTGAGATGTAAAATAAAAATGTCATTATCGTGGTATGTAATTAAAAAAGCAGATTTAAATAAAATGTATTATTACTATTATCATTAATGACTGACTTCCATATATATCCATATAGATTTAAATTAACTCTAAATTAACTAATGTTTTTCTAAGATCATCCACAATATGAAATAGACCTATTTGCGACACAGTCCACTTAATTAACTCTGGAATTAAGTATGAAAAAAACAGTATAAAGCATTTAACATCTCTCCCCATGTACTAAATTCAATTACAATAGAATATACAGTACGCTTTCTGCTGCTGGATTTACTGTTACTTAAGGCCTTAAATCCCAATGTTTTAAATGTATGACACACTGTTATGGTGAAAAAGTAAATACTGTGGTTTATGCGTAAATTCTACATTGTCATTACTCATGGAGAGCGCTCTAATGTTTACTGAATGTCGTTGCATAAGTTTGCTGTCCTGATTTTTCCCAGAATCCTGTGTGCAGCGCTGCGGCACCTTTAACCCTGGGACCAAATGCCAGTGTGACTCCATGTGTGTGTACTATGAGAGCTGCTGCCCCGACTACGAGTCTGTCTGCCCCAAAAAGGGTACGTCACAATTTATACATACTATAAACACGGGAAAAAGTGATGAAAAATCTATAAATGCTCCAATTTGGCAAAATGTATCTTAATTTGAGCACATTCTGACTGAGCCTTAAAACAAGATTTGCCAACGGGACAATCAAAATGTTCTTGTTTTAAAAAGACACAAGAAATGTCTCCATTGGAATGAGAAAATAAAGCAACAATTCTTGAAATAAGACTTAATGGCTTTGTCCTTTTGGCAAATCTTGTCTCAGAATGTACTCAAACTAAGACAAAAACCACTCAATTCAAGCAATCATTACCTCATACAATATATTATCATTTTTTGCTTTGTACATACAGAGGAATTGTGATTCTAAACTCAAACTGGGACAAAAGAAGGATTATTTATAACTCCTTTTGCCTATTATAATAAAGGTCATTTAATTAACCATTTTACATCAGGTTTTATGTTACATTCCTTTTCCCCTGATGAGCTCAACTATTGTAACAAGCCAATGGAATCAACGAAATGACTAAAGATTGACGGCCTGTATGTTTCTCCATCTTCTATTTCAGCTTCATATTTTCTCAAACCAAAACCATTCCAGACATACAGACAAATCCGAAAGATTTTTTTTCGACAACAAATCTATAACCAACACTTTTTTCACAAAGCCCTCGATAGAAATCCTTGTTTTATTCGATGAACAATCATGATGAGACCATTTTACTGCCGCCACATGTTGCTTTACCAGTGACATTAGCTCGACGCGGTGAGTTCTGGCAACCCGGATCACAGACTTTCTGATTGGTGAAACAGCGGAGGGCGGGACATTGAAATACATTTTTTTTTTTTTTTTATCCAAATATCTCTGAACTACTGTTATCAGTTAAAGAAGTATTGGAAAAGAGCATATTTTATTAATGCATTTTGACAGATTAGGGCCCTTTAATGATGACTTGACATGAAAATCTTACATATTGCTATTTTAAGCCCTGGTTTAAATAATTGACTTTAACACAAAAAGGCCTTTTATTTTAGCACGAGGCGACACTTTTGCTGATGTGGAGGATGTGACAGAGACGGCGACCACGGAGATGGCGATCCCAGTGAATTCTCCGTCTCCCACTCAGACTGAGGCTCCGGTGACTGTGGCCTCTGCTCCAGTCTTCGCCCCCACACAGGAGCCCACAACACAGGGGCCCATCTCCGAGGACACCAACCCCAACTCGACCACCTGCAGCGGGCAAACCTTCGACGCTTTCCTCCAGCTCAAAAACGGCTCCATCTACGCTTTCAGAGGTGAGGGTTTCTGCGGAGAATGTCTGTTGTATGGAAGTCTCGCTCTGATTTTGCTACTGGCCCTTCTTGAGTGAAGTAAGTAGATCAATCTAGAAGTGTACTGTATATTCCACGAGGCTTAATAAAATAGCTACACAATACTAAATTATCTATCAATTTAGAATAAAATAGAACATAAATAAAACATTTTGTTTGCCCTAATAGACAAGAGTTCTGTAAAAGTACAATGTTTTATCTTATTGTAAAAAATGCTATCCTTTGCATTGGTTTTATATAGTGCTTTTTTGGACACTCAAAGACGCTTTACATGTCATTATTCTTTCACTCCATACACGGTGGTGATAAACTACTACTGTAGCCACAGCTGCCCTGGGGCACACTGACAGAAGCGAGGCAACCAGTATGTGCCATCGGCCCCTCCGACCACCGCCAACCATTCACACACACACCAGACTCATTCTAAGCAATGGGGGTGAAGTGTCTTTCCTGAGGACACAACAGCAGTTTGCCACTTTTTCAGAAGCTGATGGTACATTTTTACAGTTTTGAAATTGAATCCCTTTTAGCAGTCATTAACTTCAAAACTGCATCTTTGAGTTAGATCAAAACTGTTAATTCATGTTTGAGAAACATGTTATTGTTTACAAACGACCAGAGAAATAAATAGATTTAGATTGAATAGAATTAAGAATCTGCAATAATCTAGTGAAATAGTACATTATATTTACAGTCTATGATTATAGAATTCTGATCAGCAACATTTTACTGCTGAGTTCTTAAGACTACTGTTGCTCTACACTTAATTCCAAGTTTCTCGTATAACATCAATGTATTCGTTCTGTTTACTACTTTTTAGGAGAGTATTTCTTTGAGCTTGACGACACATCTGTGCTTCCTGGTTACCCCAAAGTCATCGAAGACGTTTGGGGAATCCCGGGGCCCATTGACGCAGCCTTCACAAGAATCAATTGCCAAGGAAAAACATACATTTTCAAGGTTCTACCATTTCTAACAATGCTATAAAACCTTGTGTGTCCACTGTTTACTTCTACTTTACTTATCTGTGCCACTTTACTTAAAGTTAGCTAGCTTGTTACTTCATTATGCTAAAGTTAGAGATTTTTTATTTTAGTATAGAGTTATTGTTCACTTATCTTGTGCTGTGTTCTCCTCATTCCCAATGTTATGTAACGAGTGATGCAACACTGAAATTTCCCCACAGTGGGACAAAAAAAGTATCTCTTAATCTCAATCTTAATCTCCTATTACAGAAACCAGTTTGATATCTTACCTGGTGTTTTGCTATCCGCAGGGAAACCAGTATTGGAGGTTCGACGGGGACGTTATGGATGGGGATTACCCGCGGGACCTTTCAGTCGGGTTTGATGGGATCCCGAGTGACATGGACGCTGCCTTCGCTGTCCCCGCCCCGAGCCACAGAGGGAAAGAGAAGGCCTATTTCTTCAAAGGTAGTCACCGCATAGAGAGAATAGATTACAAAGAGAAAAAACTAAGCCATGTTTTAAAGCAGAGGTATCAAACAGGCGGGAAAGGTGTTTGTGGCCTCCAACTGTCTGTCAGCGCGGCCTCCACTGAGAGTCTGGGCTATTATGGCATGTTATACGTCATTTTAAAGCTAATTTACGGGAACAACCACGCCATTTATATGATCATTATCACTGAACCCTGAGTAAGAATTCAAAGTGAACATGATTTCGGTCAGCAGTACTCTTTTTGTTCATAGAGATATATTAAATAATACTGTATCTATGCTTGTACGCACTGGACTAGTTATTTGGTCAAAATACCATCATGATTATAAAAAGGTCACAGATGCAAATGATAAGCTACACGCAAAGATTCCACAAAGCTTGATCCAGCGGTTTTCCTGTTTTTGTCTCTCTGTTATAAAAGTACAAATGTTTACTTTCTATACTGTTATTGTTAAAGAATGAGAAGATGGAGCCATTTGAAACGTTAGGGTATATTTATCAGTGCAGGAGCTAAAATGCATGTGCAAAGAAAAATGACGTGTGAAGTTTTCAGGGTCACAAATGTCATTAAACAGAAGAAATAGTGCTAATCAATATTGACACATGGAAATAAAAGAAAGTAGGGAGGGGAGGGGGGTATTCTAATCTAGTTTAATGTAGTACTGTAGTGTGTGTGTGTGTGTTTCTGTGTATGTGTGTGTGCTAGTTTGTATGTATATATATATATATGCTCACTGTTATTGCTTGACATTGCCGTAAAAATCAAGACATTTCGTTATTGATATATTTAACAGGGTAATATTATTATCGAGCCTGGGTAGATGTTTTGATCATATAAAAAATAAAAAAAGAACAGTAATTGAACGCGACCGAAACATGTGGCTAGACTAACCTTGTTGTTTATGTCTGTGTTTGTCTCTGTAGATGACAAGTATTACGAGTACCAGTTCAAGCAGCAGCCGAGTCACCAGGAGTGTGTGGAGATGACGCGCTCGTCCCCCTCGCTGCTCTTCATGCGCTACACCGACCTGTTCTGCGACCGCACCTTTGAGGGCATGTTCTCGGAGCTGTTCGGACCCCCACGTAAGACCCCAAACTCTCATTACCCACCATTTTCTGATATTTGCACATTTTGATAGTATTCAGAGGTAAAAATCTGTTTAGAGAGGTGGGGGAGGCACTGGACATTGGTCATCTGCCCCTTATGGACCAATACCAATGTGTTTTTTGGATAGCATGACATATATTGGCCATTAAGGTTTTCTTCAACAGAATTGATCTGATCTTGGGTTTGGGTCTGATGTCATTATCACTTAACCCTTTAAGCGCCAAAGTCGCAATATTGCGACAAGCAACATTGCTCACTTAAACAGGCTGTATCTAAAAATGTGGTGCAGAATCTTGTTAATACTTTTCACCAGGGGTTAGTGGACATGTGTGCCTGTAATATGAGCAGCATTTGTGGGTGTGGTTATATTGAAAGTTTTTGAGTAAATTGAGTTCGTAAAACACCTGCGCGCAGCAGCGCGGAGGCGAAGCAGCAGCGGTAGAGCTGAGAGGAGCGAGAGCAGAGCAGAGGGAGAGAGAGTGTTTTTTATTTTACTCACGAGGTCTTCAGTACCAGAGAAGTACTTGGTCTGGTACTGGCTCACTCAGATTCAGAGGAGGAAGACACACAGGTGTCCAGTGAAGCAGACTCGGGCATTATTGGTGACGGGGAGACCGCGCTCCATAGTCCACAATCAGCCCCTGTGCAGCGGCTGCTTGTCCTCCGTGTGGCCGCGGTAGAAGCATTCTGTGAACGCCAAGCAGGGGCCGTGGTCGAGGGGACAGGGGCATCATAACACCGGGCATGTGGGAGAAAGTAGCCGGGGTAGACATCCGCGGGGAGACGCGGGAGAAGTCGCGGGGGAGCCGCGGGAAAAAGCACATCGCTTATCGCGTTTACTGCCTTTACCAACAGCGATGATGAGGATGAAGGCAGTTCTTGAGAGAAAATAATCCACAAAAGTGGACCAGAAGTGTTGAAAAACCTGTTGTTTATTGTTGAGACGATCTGACATGTTCTGTGCCCATTCCTTTCATGTTTCTACACGATAAATCCTGGAGCCTCATTTCCACTGAGAAAAATAGTATGCCCACTACTTCTTAGAAAGGGAAATATTGAAACCAATCTCCAGATTTCATGACTGTAAACTATAAAGAGTGCAGTCTTGATCACTGAAGGTCTTTGAAAATAATAAAATTCCATATGGCTGCGAACCAGTGCTAAAACATTATGTATAATCTGGATCAGGGAATTTATTTCTATCCCAAATTCATTTCATACTAAAGATATATTTCACATTTACTGTTTATAGTATTCCCTGATCTCAAATAACTCCCAAGCTACAGCTTTTTGAAGTCTTTATACAATAATTAACATTTTCCAAAATGGCCGCCACCTTGATGACGTCAGAATATGCAAATTAGATGACGAATCAACTTCCATCCCAAAGTTTGGTTCAGACTGAAGATATTTCTAATTTACAGTATGCCTTTATCTCAAACCATTTTAAAGTTATAGCCTTTTGAAATCTTGAAATCAAAATTGTACATTTTCTTGAAAAAACTCTGGCGCCTAAAGGGTTAAAACAGAAAGCATTATTTGACGAGTAGTATTTGACCACCAACAATGAGTGAGGGAAATATTGCTAAAAATGTATACATTGCTGTTGAGGTGATTAAACTTTCAATCATAACTGTGTAGATGTATTTGGTAACATTGTGGTTTTGAAATATTGTGGTATGTAGTTTAACAGAAGTATCAGAAAAACCTCCATTTTAGAAAAAGACGTACAATGTTCACGGCATCAGAACACTGTTACTGAACATTTCAACTCTATGTATTTTTGTACAACCCTAAATCACAACAGCAGTCGGTTTGGAGGACTTTACAAAGTTCTCGATTAAACAACAACAGATCAGAGAATAAAATAGTTTGAACACACGAAAGGCAATAATAACAAACACATAGAAACCATTGGAAACAAGGATCATCACTGATCCTTCTGCATCGGCAAGGAACAACAACAACCAAAAACAGTGGGAAAAGAGCGAGAAACCTTTGGGAGGCCCATAGTGAGAGAGGAATAGGTCGAGGCTAGAGATCCAGTACTCAGACTGTCAAATGAGGACAGAGGGCGGTGCAGGACTGCAGAGGCTCCGGGGCGAGGAGGGGGGTGCTTCAAAAGTAAATCAGTTTCATTCATATTTTTGTCAATATCACTGACTTGAACTGCAGCTTGGTCAAAGATCCTAGTTTTACGTCATTTAATAGTACGTTCCTGATCATGTCATAGACACATAAATGGGAAAGGAAAATGTTGCCCTTTGACCGATCAGTCAATAGCTTTGAGGCAATCTGTCAAGAGCAGAGTTGATTAACGTGCAGCAAAAAGTTGAAGTGTTTATAGTAATTGATTTGTTTGGTAGGATATGTCAATCAATACGGCAAAGGTTTTCATCCTTCTGAGTGAAGAATGGGAAGAAACTAGCCTCAATCATCATTTCCCTGCATGTAACGTCTGGGTCTGGTCTCTGTGTTTGCAATTACAAACGGTTAAATTCCATCTGACCAATCAGCGAGCGCAGGAGGCGGGTGTTGTAGGTAGATGTGGGTGACGTCAAGAATTTGCGCCGAATTGGCAGGTTGTAGTTTGGAAATGGCGAAGAATGCGATAGTAAAGTAATCCGATCTGGTTCTATCAAGAACTTGAAGCCGGAAGCAAGAGGAATGTTTAGCAAATGTTATTTCTGGCAAAGATTGTGGCGCTACTCCCCACACGCTCCGTTAGCGGCAAAGGAGATGGCTAGGCTAAATGCTAAATGATAACAACAGACTCGGGCGCACTACATATGTGATGGTAAACTCAGATCTAATCGTTTCAATCTGAAAAAGGAGTTAACCCCTCCCACCTGTTAACAGAGCCCAATAGAGCACCTCCAGACCTTAGTACGAAATGTATAATTTGTACTATGGTGTGGTACGACCAGGCTAGGAAGAAGCAGTCTTAAACCTTAAAGATGGCGTCCCTAACTTCTTTCAAACCACAATCTCACTAGTTTCTCTCTCTAAACACATGCCTGTTTTTTTTAGCCTCTGTCATGTCTTTAGATCATCTTTTCAGCCAATCAGCTCTCAGCCCAAAGAGTCAAAGCTATGCAGGAAAGGACAGGGGATGAACAGGGACTTGTATGGACATTGGTTTATATAAAAGCTGTTATCCTAATTGGAACTGCACTAAAGTGTATCAAAAATAGTGACTTAAATACTATCTTACAAGTATGCAAAAGATACATTGAGTTCTAGTTAAATAAAGATGGGGTCTGGTCTCTTTTGCAACATTTTTGTTCCAAGACTCTTTCTATTGCGACAAAAACTACTATTATTATTAAAATAGGGTCCAAGGACAGAGATTCAGGACACTCAACATTTATACACATTCAACAACGTTTATGGACATTGGTCATCTGTTCCTTAAGTGTTTTTATTGTTGAATTTCTTGTGTTTGAACCCTTTGATTCTCTGATCTGTGTTGGCAAATTCAACAGTTTTGTAAAGTCCTCCAAGATAACTACTGTTGTGATTTAGGGCTATACAAGAAATAAATGAATTTAATTTTTATTTATTTATTTTTTATCTTTATTTAACCAGGAACAGGCCCATTGAGATTAAGAACCTCTTTTTCAAGGGAGTCCTGGCCAAGAGGCAGTAAAGTTACACATAAACACAACAGACAGATAAAATTACATTAAAACATGAATTGAGTTGAAATGTGAAAATAGTGACTCACAGGGCCCTATCTTACAAGTATGCAAGATATACTGTATTTCCAACACTTCTGTTGGGTCACACACGATTATTGTCATTATTTGTATTTACTTCGAGTTAGATATAGTTTTCACAGCTTTCATTTGTTCTTATGTTTCCATCTCCAGCCAGCAGCATTACCCGCGGCCCTCGCCTCATCAGCCAGGACTGGGCAGGTCTGAGTTACCCCGTAGATGCAGCCATGGTGGGACGGGTCAAACTTGCCCCCAAACCCACCCCTCGACCTGCGACCAAAGGCAGCCGCTACAAGAAGAGGAGACAGAACAAGAGACGCAACTCTCGCAAAACCCGCCACGCGTTGTTTGGGGATATTTTTGATGGTATTTTAGACGATCTCTTTGACTACGAGGAGTACACAGACTACCCAGACCTGAGCAGCTCCATACAGACGTACCAAGCACAGCTGCAGCAGGTGAAGCCAACGCCAGTTCAGAATGTCTACTTCTTCAAAAAAGGTCAGCATTTTTTTGACACTCAAAGACACTTCCCATGTCTTATTCTTTCATTCCATACATGGTGGTGATAAACTACTGTGTAGGCACAGCTGCCCTGAGGCAACCAGTATGTGCCATCGGCCCTTCTGAACAACACCAACCATTCACCCACACTAAAAATAAAGAAATAGATAAGGGGAAATTGAATAATATTTTTTCTTTGTGAACCCTAATAACAATGACAGTGGATGTTACTAGAGGATAACTAAATAAGCTAATATAAACTACATGTTAGGGCTGCACGATATTGGAAATTAGAGCAATATTCGATATGAGTGTTTAGTATTTCGATAACGATATTATTGCAATATTTTTTTCTTTCACATAAAATTGCAATTTGCATTGAAACGCAAGAGACAAATAACAATAAATAAGCACAACATTAATGACATTTACATGCATATATTTATATACTTTTTTGTTCTTGTTGAATGTTGATGTGTCTGTCTTTTTTGTTGTCTTTAACAAAGGAAAAAAAAAATATTGTACATCTTTTCGATATAGATATCACATGTACCAATAACGCAATAACAATATTTTTTTGATATATCGTGCAGCCCTACTACATGTTATTATTTTTTTATTATTATATTTATTGATGTCATACTAGAAACATATACAGTATAGAAATAGTCAGAATCTTTTCTCCCTCCTCCATCCATCCAATTTCTTCCCCTTAATCCATTTCTGTGTCAGGGGGGTGGCAGTCACAGCTGCACCCACAGAGCACCAGCCCCTCACTGATCCTCCTGCAGGTGCTGAGTCCACAGGGGACCAGCTGCTCTGTCAGTGACCACACACTATTCTTCCCCTTTTTGTCTTTATTGGCTTTTTCAAGGTGTGTTTGGATTTTATTTTTATCTTTTTTGCTTTGTTGTAACTATTGTTATTATACTTTATCACTATTATTCTTAATTATAATTTATTAATTCTTTTTTCCAACACAAGGGGAAGATAGTGGATAAAAAGATGGAAAAAAAAGAATTGTTGTACTTCTTGTATATGTTACATGAAAAAATTTAAACAAACAAAAACAACACAAAGTAACAAAACAAAAAAGGTACATTTAATAAAGACACTGTGCTGAGTAAAAAACATATATTAAATGTTGGTTGTATTCTACTTTTCAGGTAAATATACCAGAGTGGACCTCAAGCGGAAGAGAGTGGACATTGTGCGACCTCCTTACCCACGATCCATTGCGAAATACTGGCTCGGTTGCGAGAGTGAAGAAACTCCTGATACTTCGAGAGCTGAAAAATAAGAGACAGATGCATATTACTGAAGCTACACTATACTACCGAGATTACATAGAGCTTAATAAAGCAGTTGAATGTGTGCGTTAGGCTGTGTTGTGTTACAGAGAACATTCATTATAAGTTATAGCAGAACTTAAAGCTGTGGTACCTAACTTTTCTGTCTCAAATAAACAGAAAGAGTAAAGATAAAAAAGTTAAATGTAGTGGAATCCGCACACAGCATGCCTGTTAGGTAGAGCCCATAGAGTCATAGATTGCCTCAGCGAGAGTGTCTTCTCTTTTCCGTTTTTTGTCTAAAGATGTGACAGGCCAAAAATTCATGCATGTGAAAACTAACGATAGAACCGAACTCTAAAGAGAGCGAGATGGTATGGATTTTATTAAACCTTCATGATTTTAGATTTTTTTCTTTGAATAGATAGATAGATAAATAGATAGATAGATACTTTAATGGTCCCCGTAGGAGAAATTCCGGTGTCCAGTAGCAGCAAAATAAAAAATATTATTGATAATTCTAAAGAGTCAACACTAGTAATAATCAGCAACAGCCCTTTAGGTCACAGCAGCAGAGATGGAGTAGCCTCTGGGTGGAGCAGCCGCTTGGTTCGGTCCATTTTCTCTGCTCTAGTCCAAAGTAAAATTCTAAAAAGTTATCATTCCTCCAGTAGATTTTCACCTGATCCACTTGGTTTGGACCATGAATCTGTCTGGACCAGTGCAAAACCATGAACACTGTACTGCAGCAACATCTCGGGTAGAAAAAAAACAATACAAATAAAAGTTGTAAAGCACAAAACTGTTTCAGAGCTACTAAGGACTTGCTGCCGTTTTCCAGCGCAATCAAAAGAGATAGGAATGTTAGGTACCCCAGCTTTAAAATAAAATATTGTGGATAAACCAACCTGTTGTAGTTTGTCAGCCTTGTTGTAGTTTAGAGAGATTTGTGATAGAAGAGCACCATCTGCTGGGCATTAGAGTAAATGCAATGAGTGTGTTAGTTTCTGTAAAACACATTTGTGAAAAAGAAGATGGAGTGAAACGTCAATTAAATAAATGGTGAGAAAAGTGATAAAACTATGATTAACTTTTAACATAACAAGCTGCAGCTAGCACATACATTAGCATCGTGTGTCAAATAAGCTAACCCAGTCCTAGAACTCTGGGTTATTTACTAAACTCCATATGATACGACAGATAAAGAAGAATTATAGTCTCGTATACAATTAGAGGGATTTGTTTTACCTTCTCAACGATATTTGTGGTCATTTTCAACTTGGGACAGTTGATGATTTCTTCTCCACCTCATGGCGCTGGAGCTAACTCCATGAGTCAATGTAAAATGTGATAGCCAAGGTACGGAAACATTTATACGTTTTTTAAATATTTAAAAATGACAAATGTACAATTCTAGTCATATTGAAACATTTACATTGACATTCATATATAATTTCCTAAAAGGCACCGCTGGGATTCGAACCCAGGATCTCCTGTTTACTAGACAGGCGCTTTAACCAACTAAGCCACGGCGCCACGTGACGAAGTTAAAAGTTGCTACACGCTTTATCAATCCAGACACAGCACTTTTATGTATATTTTTTATTATTATGTAGTATATTTTAAATACATTTGATAAACATAAGGCCTACGCAGACCCCACAATAAATACTATTCTAAAAGATACCAAAACAAGACGCGTATTGTGTTTATTCATTCAATCTTAATATGATCAGTTCAATTGAGAAAATAATCAATTATAGCCGCAGAAATCTCCACATCAGACAATTTGAAATCGCACAGATCTTGTACGGACAGGTCGGACAGGTCTGACGCTGGCTCTTCTGCGTGTACGCTTTGCTTCGCCTCGGGTTTGACCTCCTGTCGCCCGTAGTGGGTTTGGGTTTGGACTTGGACGGGCTCAAAAGAGTCATTCACCCCCAGAAATGCCTCCAGCTCCTCGGGGACATCCCAGTCATTGATCGCGCTGCTGTGCTGGAGCTCATCCCCACAAAGGTCGCTAAAGAAGTCTGGCACAGTCTCCTCATAGCTCTCTCTCCTGTGCCCACATGGAGACATGGGGACCGCGGCTGGACCTGGGGATAAAGGGTGCAGAGACCCAGGGTGCAGAGACTGGGGGCCCTGGAAGTCAGCGAAGCCTGGAGAGCCGTGCAAACTTGGAGGAGACTGGAAAACTGGGACCTGCGCGAAAGGGGGGCTGAGAGGAGGGTGGAAGTGGATGGACTCGCTGTGTTTTGGGATCTGTTGTATTCCCTTTCTGCTCTTGAAATGTCTTGCACGGCGATTCTGGAACCAGACCTGGCGGGGAAAGAGAATGCCAAGTTAATCATGAGAGCCCTACTCATTGGCCTGACTCTCTCCAGACCCTTGTAGTTCCGCCATTCTCCACCAGAGGCGTTTGGCTGACCCACATGTGAGAAGCGCAGCGATCTACAAGGGTCTGACTAATTTAGGATGACTGTGTTTTCTCCAGGCAAACATCCCAAGCAGCAGAGAAAATCACAAAAGAATACAATAAATATACAGTTTAAACCCCATTACATCAATTATTGACCTAGTAAATACAAGGTTACAAATTAGTCCTATCGCGTGTTCTATAGTCTCATGCCCTTACCTGGATTTTGGATTCAGGCAGACCGGTCATAGAGGCCAGGGTCTCTCTCATCTTTATGTTTGGATACTGCGTGATGGAAAAGGTCCTCTCCAGCGCCATCAGCTGCGCTTTGCTGAATGTGGTGCGTCTCCTGCGGCGCTGGTTGTCTGGACGCATGAACGAGGCATCTGTAAAGAACCAAAAACAGGTCAAACTTAGTATTATGTATCCCTTTTTACTATTAAAACGGGATTGGTCTTATTTATAAACTCACTTCTGCTTGAGGTGTGTGCGTAATCCTCTATGGTGTTTAGATCCAGGCAGGTGTTGGACCAGTAAAATGCATCCATCTTCTGATTCCAATACGTCCAAAGTTAACCCGCTAGGCCTCTGCTCCAAATGTCTTTATATACTGGTCTGGGACTGACACCTTCCTTTCCCCCTCCGCTGCACCCACCAATGGGTCGCTGCTCATTTAAGTGCATATTGCCCACTTCACAAACACGCGCCTTTGAAGTTGGGCAAACCACACCACAATGAGGCATTAATGAGCCCATTTTGGCGAACTGATGTTCAGCATTAAGAGAAATTAACAGAATCATTTTCAAACAGTAAAATGTCAAATTGCACGTATGACTCTTTTATATATGACTGTTTGTGCAATTATGTTAAACCTGAGTTCTCATTACAACAGCCTGCAGAAGTCAGTACTTTTCCACTTGATGTCTTGGTTATCTGAAGATCGAAGTCTTATCTATCTTATCTACTGGCGACGCAGATGCTGAGAGGAGCTATATCACATGTTTGTTTTTGGTATAAAACCAGGTGGATGCTGTTAAAATTTTACAATAAAAAGTATTTTGCTGTGAGACAATCCCAGATCTCTGTATCTTCTGTCATTTTCTTCACAAAGCTGTATAGTGGGAAAATCCAGTTTATTTTCAGTTGATTTGCCATTTTGGCGTTTTGGAAAAAAAGTATATATTTCTTTGTACTAGAGAATACAAGTTTATGTTTGTTTCTTCGTTAAGCTAAAGATAGATAAGTAGAGAGAAGATTTTATACATGTCTTTACCCTTTTACTCTTACAACTTGATTCCACCTCGAGTCAAAGCAATGTCCTGATGTTTGACTTCCTGTTATAACAAAACAAAACACAATCTGATTCTACTTGTGATGCAACACCCCCCACTGTGTGACAAATAAATAATCTCTTAATATTACTGAATACACAAACAGTTCATGAAATGTGACTATTATCCCAACTGTGCATTAGGCCAGATTTTGTTCATTTCCGACTTGATTCTTTATCGCATCAAACCCAAACCAGGACAGACGAGTGACAGGTGAAACCCCTCAGTGGGACTTCTATTCAGAGCACCACCTCCTGCAGCGCATCAGGTACAAATCCTCTTCTTGTGCTGTGTGCAGAGGTCTGGACGTGTATTCAGAGGTGGCGCTGGAGTGTGTCTGCAGATCATGCGCTGAGGTGACAAACTGGGCTACTGCGTTTCCACCGATCGAGACATCAAAAGCGCACCTTTACGCACGCAGCTCCAGACTGAAAACTCCATTAGGGCCTATACTGCAGCTCAAATCCCTAACATTATTCATATGGTCTCGAAATTCACAATATTTGTAACATTACGTTTTCTCAGCGCATTGATATTAGTTAGTTTTGGCTCTCAGTCCATTGCGGGACGCTCGTGAAGACAATATGAAAAATAAATCTATATTTTTAAGAGAAAAGAAGACTAAATTTCTCGTGTATAGGGAAATTTGTTATCTGCATTTGACCCATCATGTTATGTCACTATAGGACCCATCTCTAGACAATGTTTGAATTCATCATGATGCTAAATGTTTGTTCAGTTTTGGGTTCTATTGTGTTATACTGTATGTTTTTGACGTTTTGTACTGTGAATTAATCCTGTGTGGAATGGACCCCAGGAAACTAATGAGAATCAAAATAAATATATAAAATACAAATAAAATTAAAAAAAGTTTAAAGAATGAATAATAATAACACGGAAGCTCCTCTCTGCATCTGCCGCGTCACCATTAAATAAAGAAGTGAAGGAACTCAAAAGAAGATGATCCATAAAACTCATGGCAGAAAGTTATTGATGAATGGAATGCTGGGAAAGGAGCCGTATTCCGTGAGCGCATATATATAGGTTGAATGTGACTAGCGCATTATCACCAGATGATCACAAAACGCTGTGATCCAAGAGAACAATAGTGACCACGGAGCAGCACATGACCATCATCATGACCATCGAAACTCATCCTGCTCTTTCAGACTGACATCAGCCGTCATCAGATATTCATATTGCATTAAGTACCTACACCACGTGATGGCAATGTTGTTCACTCAACTGTGGCCTGTGAAGCATCGAATTCAATATTGAGATGTTTGTTATTATTTAGTAATTATTGTTTAGATTACTGTATAATGACTCATTGTATATGAATTTATTATATATGAATTTATTGTATATTGATTGTCAAAGTAACTCAACCGATATATGATTTTATTTACCTATTGTCATCACAGTATTTTAGGCACATTCTACACATACCCCGTTTTATTGTAATTATATACATGAGAGATTCAGGTTCAAGCAAAAATATGGTAGCAGGGATTATAATATGTCACTTTAACTGGCAATATTATACATAAAAAATGTATTTTTTCTCTCTCAGTAACAAGTAATGTGTTATATAATACTGTTTTGAATTTCAGGCAAAAAAAATACATGTATTTCTCCATTTATGGGAATTAGATAGCTATACAAGTGATCTAGCTTTCTGTAAGTCACAACGACCCAATTGTGTATGACTCTGATATGTTCTGATTGTCTCATGAGGATTAGATAGCTATATGGCCTACGCAGGTGGACAAACGTATAAGACTCTAGGCCTCTGATTGTGTATCCATGTTATAACTATGATATGCTCTGAGTGTCTCTGAATATGACACGTATGTCTTTCAATGTGTGACGTAACAATGACTATAAAATCATGTCTTGACATTGTTCTGTCTGAGAAAACAGAAAAAACCTGAAAGGAGCCAGAGAATAAACTTCCAGAGCTTTGGTGTGTTTCATTTCCCACCGTCTCTTGATGCCTTTCTATGTGTGACGTATCTGTGACGTAACGAATGACTATATATAAACCATGCCCTGACTTTGTTCTGTTTGAAAAAACTGAGACGAAGGACACTGAATAAACTTCCAGAAGCTCTAGTGTGCCACATGTGGTTAATCTACGACAACATATATCAGTAGAAACCTTTTATAATTTTTCCATTATTCCATTCTTATCACTGAAACAAGCTCAAGGAACTGAAACAACATCTGTGTATCCGCTCTGAGCTCGGTTCATAATCTATTCACGTTGTTTGACAGCCCCAACATTTATCCATCATTGCATCAAAAGATCCATCAGAAAGATCACAAATTGGATTTTATGCCAGATTTGTACAACCTTAACTTTATCCATGCGTCACAATTAAATCAGCATTTCTAAATAAGATACACACTATGACCCTGCCCTTACACAAACCCTCAATATCAATACACAAACTGTTCTTTTGGCCTTATCCTCGGTCAGGTGTGCACACAGGTCCAGTGCTCCTCTGGGTTTGACGCTGAGGTGTGAATGACGCTCCTGCACCAGCTCTGCTATCTCCACAATACACAACACCTCAACTGTTTGATGTGGAGGAAGAAGTGTCCATGTTTCCTGTTACTCTGACAGATTTCTGGGCACGTTTTGCTTCTAACACCATCGAAAAGCCGTTTGAATGAGCGCCGTGTCAAAGTCAGAAGGCAAATCAGGGTACCTTTAAAGTAGAGAGATGGGTGGATGTCATTATTATGCTACTTTTCTGTTCTGCCAATGTATTGATGACATAGTAAAGAGATAAAATGCCATAAAGAATAGAGGCTATTTGAGTTTGTGACTGCGGGGCAGAGATAGTGACAGGTTCAAGGCAGTTCACAGCAACAACAAGGTGAAGGGGCAGAATTAAGTTTGTTTTGAGGATATAGTGGCTAAACTAATTCCAACAAACTCAAATGCATGGGCTTAAACTGGTACGCACCACTCATTAATATTATGTTCTCCTAAAGGTATTTTTTTTGTTATTGTATAATGTTGCTATAATCCTGAAGTATTGAATGGCTTGGAATTTAAAATTGATATACCCATCTGAAATGGTTGGTGAGACATTTTTTTACACTATAGACTTTTCAGCATTAAGTTTAGACTAGGCCTTGCCAGACCCAACTTTAACACTTATGGTTCTGTTGGTTGCTGTGTATTGTCTTTGTGGCTGGGACAGTTCAAACACTCTCTGGCCTGGGCTCATTTCCATCCGTTATTTCTACTGTCACCCTCACAAAAAGGAAGGTCTAAGGACTGTGATTATGATCCAGGACATTTAATGACATTTAATGACATCTATTAAAGGTATGGGAAAGGTAAAGAAGGATTTTCCCAAATTTTAGGAAAGAACCGCCCTCTTCAATTTTTGAAAAAACTCACTGGTCTTATTTGTTGAGCACAAATCACCAGAATGATTGACAATTGGGAGGACCAATAGTCTTGATGATCCACCCTGATGAAGAAGATGACATGTCTGGGATCGCGTCTTTCATTCAGACAGAAGACATGTTTTATTGTCAATGGTAGAGACAGCACAAACAACAGATACAACAGAATGCAAGTGTATTATACAGAGCGGAGGCATGGAGACCTCCAATCAGCAGCTGCCACGGTGCCATGTAGCTTAGCCTTCAGATAGACAAAACAAGGGAAAAGTACTGGCTTCTGCACATTGATAGAATGATGAGTTTAACTTCAACAAAAGTTGCTTAAAAGTGTTATGAAATCTCACATTCCCCCCTCTGGTCACACATTCCCGTGTGACCATCAGGATTGATAAACAGCAACATAACATCATATCTCAATACTTCAACTCGGTACTTCAAAAAACTCAGAACTCGGAATACAAAAACTCAGAAAACTCATAAAACATGTTCAGATCTTTCATAAAACTTGTCAACAATCTTCAGTAAAATACCAAACTTCATCAGTCGATGGTGGTTCCAGATATTGCTTTGAAAACAGTCTCTCCCACTTCTCTGTGTTGGTTTCTTCAGGCTGCTGTTAGGATTTAAGCAGACAGAGACGGATCGTGGTGTGCCAAACTCTGGAAGTTTATTTAAGTTGCTCTCAAGTTCCACTGGTTTACTCTGTTTCTTTTCCTCAGACAGAATAAAGGCAGTACACAGTTTATATAGTCATTGTCACGTCACACATCGAAAGACATACGTGTCACAAA